GGGCCCGACCGTGTTGCCACAGACACCAAGACAGTTCCTGGCCGGTGTTTAAGGTCTATCCGGAAGACCTGATATAGTACGAGAGATTTCAACCTAACTTATTCTCCTCTCAACTCAAACTGAATAAGAAAAGAAAAGAAAAATAAATAAATAATTACTCACCCTTCCTTGACCATGTTGATGGCTGAAACGAAAAAAAAAAGAAAATTAATACATATAGAAAGAGAAATAGTGAAAAAGGATGCATATATTTTATTTTATTGTTTACATATTGACTTGATTTAATTTTGAGTTGTTGAAACCAATACCTAAAATATAAAAAGATCAATCGAAGTCTTACTACCTTCGAAATGACCTTTAAGAAAAAAAGAAAGAAAAATTGAAAACTAATACCTACATTTTTAGTTTTGATTGTATTGTATTGTATTGATATTGAATTGATTAATTTTGAGTCTTTGAAAGTAACCTAAAATATAAAAGGAAAAAGGTTAGAATATGATTCAAATAATTGAATGATTTTTTAGTTGAACATCATTCATATTTATATACATTTCAATACATTTTTTCTCTCGTTCAAATAATAATTAGTCAATTTTGATTGAGGTTGAATCGAACACATACATTGAGATCATAATAATTATGGACAAGAAAAAATAAATCGTCCGATCGTCGTCGTTGTTTTATTTCTTTTTCTCTCACATTTTATTTTTCGTAAGAGAGAATGAGAGATTAGAATTGTCAAGATCACAATTAAGTGTCATTTTATCGAATGTGATCATAAAACAATAATACGATTAAAAACACTTGAAGAAACCTTATTTAAGAGAGGGTCCATGAGATGATCGAGGATCGTTCCAATATACGAAGCACTCGACAAAATTTATTTTTTCGATTTTTTTTGCTCATTCGAAACTTCAATGTCTAAAACTACTAACCCTAAAATTTTATGTTCTAATACCCTTCCTATGAAAAGTTAGTCAATACCAACTTTTGGCACTATCGAGGCTTTTTGTAAAAAAATAAGAAAAAATATTCTATAAAAGATGTACTCGCTTCCGTTTCAGCAAATCATTGAAATTTTTCGTGGTATATATGACAAGATAGAGAATTGAAAACTGAATAAAATGAGCTACATTGATATAATATAATGGCTAACAATTTAAGTTTTATAGAGCAAATATGAGTCAAGGGGTGGTATTTCTGAACAGTCTCAATAAACAGTATAATTCGTGTTGTGCTTCAGAACTCAGAGACCCCAGACTGAATTTTATATATGTTGTGCAGCTTTTTATTCTCTACAAAATGGTAAAAAAATATTTGAAAAAAAAGTTTCCGCTTGATGCGAAAAACGGTTTATACGGTCTAATTTTTCATGGTTTTTAATGGTTTTTCAAAGAAAAATAAAGATTTTTAGCGATTTTTTTGTCATAGAATACTACTAGACGAAAACAAATATGATATTCTGAATCAGCGTGAAAAACTGCATCCAACCATATATGTTTCGCCGAAAATTTTTTCCTGACGAAAATTCACCTGAGGGGGACCAAGGAGAAACTTTTCTTTTAAATATAGCTGTGGGGGACCACAGGTGAATTTTGGTCAGGAAAAAGTTTTCGGTGAAACATATATGGTTGGATGCAGTTTTTCACGCTGATTCAGAATATCATATTTGTTTTCGTCTAGTAGTATTCTATGACAAAAAAATCGCTAAAAATCTTTATTTTTCTTTGAAAAACCATTAAAAACCATGAAAAATTAGACCGTATAAACCGTTTTTCGCATCAAGCGGAAACTTTTTTTTCAAATATTTTTTTACCATTTTGTAGAGAATAAAAAGCTGCACAACATACATAAAATTCAGTCTGGGGTCTCTGAGTTCTGAAGCACAACACGAATTATACTGTTTATTGAGACTGTTCAGAAATACCACCCCTTGACTCATATTTGCTCTATAAAACTTAAATTGTTAGCCATTATATTATATCAATGTAGCTCATTTTATTCAGTTTTCAATTCTCTATCTTGTCATATATACCACGAAAAATTTCAATGATTTGCTGAAACGGAAGCGAGTACATCTTTTATAGAATATTTTTTCTTATTTTTTTACAAAAAGCCTCGATAGTGCCAAAAGTTGGTATTGACTAACTTTTCATAGGAAGGGTATTAGAACATAAAATTTTAGGGTTAGTAGTTTTAGACATTGAAGTTTCGAATGAGCAAAAAAAATCGAAAAAATAAATTTTATCGAGTGCCTCGTATCTAGGCATGCACCCAAACCGTTTGGGTCACTTCTGCCCAAATAAGGAAAAATGCCCTTATTTACTGAACCATGCTATGCAACAGTTTTTCTTCAGTGAAAAACTTAAGTAGGAGGATGACACTATAGAATACCAAAAGAGAGATTCCGGCAACCTTCTTAGACTAAATACTAGAGTCAATCACAAAATCCAAACCCAAACCCAAACTCATTGAGTTTGGGTTTGGGGGGTTGTTCAGTTCTCTTTGAATATCCCATTTAATGAAGCAGCTCATTTGATCATTTTCCATTTAGTTGTCAAAGGCAGACTTCCTTCAATATTAATGGCGATACAGTTTATTGATACAGTTCATAGTCAGTGAGATAAGTTTGAAATACCCAAACTCTTCTATTGAGTTTGGGTGCATGCCTACTCGTATCCTCGATGCTGTCGTGGACCCTCTCTTAATAAATAATAAATATGATTGAAAAATCGAATATAAATAAGTAACTAAATTTGCATCTTTTTGTTTTGTTTTACAAATAGTTTATTGTATTTATTATTACAGAAAAATAACGAATTATTCTATTATAAATCTATATTTTATTTAGAGTACATTCATCAGCACAATGATTTATATCATCGATATTTTTCAAAAGATTGAGAATGAATTCTTCAGCGAAGATTTATCATAGAATTCATCCAATTTGAAAAAAACAAAAAAATATGTTATGATAAATATTTAGATGATCTTATTTATTCAATTTATTCTCAAATTTTGGTAAGTAGTAGTAGTGAAATATATTGTTCAGTAAGAAATTATCATACAAATACAAAAAAAAAGTTTTGTCCACATTTAAATGTTTATTTTATTTTTTTTGAAAGCAAAAGAAGAAAATGATCCAGATCAAAATTATTTATGAAATTTCGTCAATAACAACTACAAATTAGAATCATGTAAACAAACATTGAAATGACTCAAAGATACTATTTGAATAATATCGACAACATAAATGAATTATATCTTTTGCAAATGATAAAATTCTAATGGATATTATTTATGAATGTATTGTTCATTCTTATTTAATATCAACAAAGCAATTGATTTTGTTGTCACATTAATTATTACATATCGAAGAGAGTTATTCGAATAAATATATATGACTTACATATATGGATATGTTGCTTATAGATTTATTTGCAGATAGTATCCATTTAACAAAACAAATTTTAAAAATCCATCATCTCTATCTATTTTTAAGATTATTATCGAATATGAATAATTCAACATTGTTTTATTGATTTACAACAGCGAATAATAACAAATTATACAAATTTAATTAATATATTACTTCAGTTAAAACAAACGAAATGTACAAAAATGTAAATATCTTATTATTCATCAATATTATTTGATCTATTTAGTTTTTTGTTCATCTTCGACATCAAACGATACATTACAAAAAAAGCTTGGAATTTTTTTAATCAAGGAATGTTATTATAAAATTATTAAGAATTACAAAGAAACATTTAATAACTATTATAGAAAATAAAAAGATAGATAGATCATGAAATTTTCTTTTTTGAAATTTATTCAAATCGGAAAACTATATTTAATGTTTAATTAATCAATGGACACAAACAACTTTATTTAATTTATTTGAATTAATCATCAATTTTATCATGATTTAAAAGAAATTAAAATTATATATATCTACTATGAATATTATTTTAATAATCAATTAAATACATTATTAGATATAGTTAATTGAAAATAATTTACAATTATCATTTGAAGAATTCCCTCCTTTGGATTATTTCATCTTCTTATAATACCTAAACAATATAACTATAATTTGATATTCAATAGAACATAATTATAATAGAGAGAGATAAAAAAATTTTCTTGATAATTTATTTAAACTTAATTGTAATGATGAATTTCAACTATATTTCATAAGTAGCTTATTTTTTAATGAAAAGATTGCTCTTGAAATTTTCTACAAATTAATATACTTTACTCAACCAATATGATCTTCTCCATCTTTTTATTTATGAATCAAATCGAATGGTAATATCATCAGATTTGAATGTATTAAATTGATTAATTCATAAATAATTTATTATTATTATTATGTCTTTTATAATTAGGATTATTATGATTATGATTGCATTATTTCATCAATATAATGATTTATTACAATATCAACAAATAGAAATAGATGAATATCCATTTTAAAAATATTTCAGCTATTTATTTTTTTTTTCTTTGGTTATTGATAAAATATCAATTATTATTCAATTTGACACATATTAAAAACTGAAATTATATTGTCTAATAAATTCATAAACATATATCTCTCTTAAAATTTTACGTCCTATTCTTCATTGTTTTTGAATTACTAAAAATAAACAATATTAATCTATGATCATCTTAGTCAATTTTATTTATTTTTCTACATCAAATATATACAAACACAGTTCATTGAACGAGATTCTCAAAACATTATAATTATTCTTATGATCAACAATATTAAAATGAAAAATAAAAAATTTTTCAATTAGTTCATTCGATGCATTGCAACAAATTATTTTAGTTACGAATGAAAAATCATAACGAAAACGATATTATTAGGTGTTGTATATAATCAGATTCATTCATTTATAAAATAGATACATATTACTAAATCATTCAACTTTGAAAAAAAGACCTTTTATCAAAATAAAATTTAAAATTTATTCGTTCGCATTGTCTATAAATTTCGAATGTTTTTGTTATTGATTTAGTCATATTGATATTCTTTCGTTATCTCATGCTTATATATATAACAAGTAATTTCAACTCTTTCATTTTATTTCTTGTTCTACGTAGTTATATTTTATTATTTAAATCTGTAATTCTTCATCTGTATTGAATGAGTGTGAGAAAATACATAGAAAAAAAAACAATTTTTTTTGATTCTCATTATAATTTAAATTATATCAAGAACTTAAAATAGGACATATTTGGAAATATGTGTTTAATGTTATGACAACATAATTGTCGAATATTATAAATGAGAATACTTTTACATAAAATTGAGGACAAAAAAATGGATATTGTTAATTTTTCTGCTCTTAATCTATTTTTTGATTTCTATGTTAAAAAAATACACCTTTGTAACATTATCGAATGTTGTGACTGTATTGATTTCTAAAGACAAACTTGAAATAGTTATTGTGTTCGTCTAGCTCTGATATCTGCACTCACACCCACACTCTTTACCATTAGACAGACAATTTACAAAATCACGATTCGAATGTGTACATGAATTTTACTTTACTATTGAAAATAAAAGTGATACATTTTGCCATTTTTTATTATTATCTATTAATAATTACAATTGTTAATCAAGCAAAAAATGAAAAAAAAATTCGATTGCTTGTAACAATGACTAAAATAAATTGAATTAGATAATAGCAACAAAAATTTTCAAGAGAATTGTTTTAAGAACTAAATTAAAAACAAAGTATACATTTTTTTTACTGATGTATTTCAATAGTCTTATGACAAGAAATATACTAGTAAAAAAACATATGTGCATACATATGTCACGAACTATTTTTTAACCTAGATGTTACCAAAAGTTGTGTCATCGTTAAATAAAAATACGATGATAAGAAGATATTTTCAATTCTATATCATTAAATGATGATAAATGGGGGTTATGAGACTGTTTATAGCAAATTCAACATTTTTCTAATAATTTATTGAAAATTTTTTTGAAATAGTTTTCAAAAACAAAAGAAATTCTAGCTATCTTGGATACCGCAGAAATTATGAACATATCAGTGATTTTGAAACATTTAAACGTTGTTCGATAGAGTTATTTAACTCAAGATTGTATAATACTCGATATGGCTAATCATGATTGATGTGACATTAAATAGATGCTTTTGTTCTATTGAATATATAGTAACATATCGGATGAGTTTTAATTGAGAAATGATCCTTAAGAAATTTTATACATTTTGAGTCTGATGCTTTTATTTATTTTATATTACATTAGAAAAAAGGATTCAAGACAATATTCATCATAACATTTATGAATGAATTATAGAATATATGAAAACAAAATTTTGATTAACATCTATCTTTATGAATAGTAGTAGTTCAATACGATTCATCTTCAATGAACTAGCTAACATCAGATGAATTTTGATTAACCTATCTAAAATAAATCCATCTCTCTCATCAATAGTATTTCTAGGATGCAACTCACATGGTTTAATAAAATTCCTCTAAATTTTTAAACAAACGAAAACATAAGTGAACTTCACGCGGTACTCAAGACAGCTAAAGATTTTTTGTTTTTTTTTGAAAACTATTTCGAAAAAACTTTCAACAAATTATTAGAAACATGTTGAATTTACTATAAACAATCTCATAACACCTATTATCATCATTTGATGAAATAGAATTGAAAATATCTTCTTATCATCGTATTTTGATTTAACGATGACACAACTTTGGGTAATCCCATAAAGTAAATATAGTTTTACTATTAATAAAGAATCACTAATGAACAATGAATGATTAATAACATCGAATGCGTACGTTTATCTTCCATATGAAGACATCGAAAAAATAAGTAAATAATCCAATTCATTTTTGTAATGAAAATCTGAATTATTTAAACATAATTTATGTCAATATCATACGAACTATAGCATATAAGGTATTAGAATGAGTGTGAATGTGAATCTTGATACAAGTATCGCTTAACTCAAACTTATACCCACACTCATACCTTCTGTAATTTCTATCCCAATGCTTGCCAACATCTCTTACTAGATTTATGTTAGATTTATTATTCTCTATCTGTGATATTCCTATAATAATGTCTGTCATGGTCTACATGAGAAGAAAAGTATTTGTTTTCTATATATATTTCAAAACTTCTGCTAGGTCATGTTTAACAAAAATAATACTAAAAAAATCTCACAGCTGAAACCAAATATCATTGAGTAATAGAAATAAAAGATTTAATATTTTTATTATTCGTTGAAAATATGTATATATTTCGTCCTTGCGGATAATGTTTTATCTTCAACAAAAAGTATTTCAAGGACTTGTGGAGCTCTTGAATGTTTTAAAAATTTCAAAGCATATCGCTAAAAATAAAAAGAAATAGATAGTTACAATTAAATTCTTCTTTATCATGAAAATTTTCTGCAATACGTATTGTATTATTTCTTACTAATACATATTTATGCAACGAAATATCAAATCAGGTTATGTATTTTTACCTCGATAAGAAAGATTATAAGAAGAAATAAAACAATGATCTTTCTTATTCTTTTATGAAAGATAAAAATTAATTACTACACTGGACAATATCTTTTTAATACAAGCAATACATTGTCTGGATGTGGGTGTGGGTATGGTCGTTGCTTCACAAGTCAATATCGTCTACACCTGCACCCTTATGATAACACCTGGTGAACATCGATTTGATAGGTCCACATTTTATATAAATGCTATAATTAAACAAGTGCCTCTCAATATCGACTTCAATCAATTTTCTGATTTATTTGTATGTTGATTTAATTCTATATTTAATCATTCATTATTATTTTTCTTTTCTAGAGCGATGTCATGAATATAGTAATTTATATTCACGAGAATCACTGCAGATAGTATTATCTGAATTCAAGAACAGAAAGATCGTCTTAAGGTATTTTCATATACTGAGACAAAACAATAATAACCTTGAAATAGCCTTTAACTTTGCGAGTGATTTATTTTTTATTGAAAAAGTATTTAATCAAGATGGAATTACAATTATGAAGAAAATTTACTTTTATCTAAGGACATTTCTTTTTTGAGCCTTCTCAATTTTGTTTGAGCTCCAAACAGAAAAGAGTTGGTAATGAACTAAATTCAATTAGAAAAAATTACATTTTTATTATCATTAAAAATGAATTAGATATATCCTGTACATAAATATAGATTTTTTCTTTATTGAACTGGTCTTAAAATATAATTTGCGTATGGTTGTGGCTAGAAGCAGACCCACACCCACATCCACACTCATCTTCGTTCTCATTCAAGGCTATAAAACAAGAAAAAATTTAAATAAAGTTTAAATTTTTAATCGAGAAATTATTCTTGAATGGTTCGAGCAAGTTCATCATAATATAAAATCCTTTGAATGGTTACATTTTAGTTTTTTCTGTGGCATAATATTCATTTTTATAAAAGGAATATTTATTTAATAGATTCAAATATTAATTATATTTGATCTGTTTCCTCTTTCAATAACGCTTAATTGCAATTTTTTAAAAATACCCAAATACATTTGAATCTTCTATTTACTTTTCAAGTTGAACTAAAATCTAAGATTTATTTCAAATTGAAATAATAAACCACTTTTTCATTTATAATTTTTCTTAAGATGAGTCAACAAAATGTTCCATTATATTTCAATAAAAATAAAATAATTTATTAAAATATTTTAATATATAGTTTAATCTTTTGAAGATCAACATACTTTATGAAATATACATTATCAAACTTTCTGAATTTTTCAATAACTTGCGAACACGAAATGATATTTAAGTACAATTTCCTCTATGGAATAGAAGAGATTTGAGCATCGCTATTCTAAAAACGAAGAGGGCAGACGATGTCCTTTTACAATTTCCAGAATGTTTTGATTTTCCATATTGGAATCAAGTTACGAGTAACTCATAATGATATTTCAAAGATTGACTTTACGACAGCTCTCCATCGAATTTTGACCCACATCTGTATTCTTCCACGAATTATCACAGAATAATATTAACAATATTTATAAAGAAATTTAAAGAATGCTCAAAAATGATTCTCTCTTAATATGATGTTCAACTATATAAAAAGATAGATTATCGAAAAACAATATTTTTAGCAAAATTACTTTGATTGACAATTATCGAAAGCGATTCAATTAACTGTTTCTTTCTTAAGTTTTTCTTCTTTTGTATCAAAAGAAATTTTCCTCTAAAAAAATATATCGTTAAATAGAATCTATTCATCTTTCATCAGAATCTTCATCATTCTTCAGCACCGTTCAGACTTCCACGAAAAGAAAATTACAGAAAATCCGAAAGGACGTGGGACGATATGGGCACTTTTCGTCCCAAAAAATTTTTG